CCACTTCTGCAGGACATGTACATGTGAACTTCTTAAACATATGCTTGGCATTTTTTAAAGTGCCTGGTCCCTATAACTTTCATCATGTTGAGAAAGAGAAGGATAAGCTAGCAGCCCCAAGCAGCATTATCTCACTCGTGGGATACAAGCAACAAATACTGCCTGCCACCTATGAAACTGAAAAGTGCCTTTTTAATAGATCTGTGACTCACTACACAGTTTTATTTTAAATACCTTGGCGAAGCACATAGTCACATAATGCACAGTGATAAAAGTTGATATTTACTGAGCATGTGTATTGGACATAATGCTAAGTATTTTATATGTATCATCTCATTTAATTGTTTTATAACAACACAGAACTATTATTTATTTCATTTTAAAACCCAGAGTATTAAGACTCAGAAGCTGAATAAAGTGCCGAAGGCCACACAGTGAGCTGGGACTGGAACCCAGTCTGTATGTCTAGAGCTCATGCCTGCTAGACAATTCTGCCTCCCAGAGTTAGTATTCAGACTGCACACAAGGCCGACCGATTTTCTTTTTCATCCAGAATGCTTTTTCACTTAATGCAAAAAATATTTAGGGAAAAAAAAGAAAATTGCAAGAGTTTGAAGTAAACTATAAGCAGGCAGATCATTTTATCAAACAAGTTAATCACATGACAATATTCTAAGAACCAAACAAAAATGATTACTGTATTAATAAATTATTAGGTTATCTATGGTTCATCTTCCCTTCCGAACCCCAAATACTTCATGTGCTCCTGCTCCAATTCTAAGCAGTGTTCCGTAAGAACCTATAACATCCCCCATATGTTTGCAATCCACCCAAGGGCAGCTCAGATTGATGAACGATCTCTATAAATTAATTTTATGGCACTGCTGAAATTTCTAGTTAATTAAGTGTAATGAAAGAATGTGTCAGTAGATGGTAACCTTTCAAATGTCTGATAAAGAAATTTATATAAAAAAAGTGCATGTTTCAGCTCATAGATTTTGGGTGTTAAACATCAACTGAAAAATTAATTTTAATGGGAAATGAACAAAATGATGTGTCACCCATGTTTGTAGACATTGATATACCTGAAAAAAATAAATGTTCATATGGAATGTGTATGTTTGTAAGTAAATTATATAATTAAATTATATATTGAACAAACATAACATTTACTGACATTACAGATGAACTTGCATAGCATTTGCATGTGAAATACTGAGGGAAATTCAAACTAAGATTGGTATGTTTTCCAAACCTCGGTAATACAGCAAGGAAAATCAACAGTGATTGCTTTAAAACAATCTACAAACAAACCTACTTTTAAATGAATGTTCTTAATAGACGGTTTCATCTGGGAATAGAATACACAAATTTTCGATGACCTGTAAGTTATAAACTTAACATACGGTGTCTAGAGAACAATATACAAGTTAAGCATATGCCTCAATTCACAAATCATCAGTTTTCTATCCATTTTAATTAGAAATAAACAATACTTGTGCAGACTTCAGAAGCAAATGCTTTTAAATCCTTTTAGAATAGTTGAGAACGACGAATGAAAATTACATGTAAATTCAGTCACAATTTAAAAAATAACTTGTCAACATTTTCCTAAGGACACTACTAATTCATTAAAAAATATATACAGTCCTGGCTGGTGTGGCTCAGTTGGTTGAGCATCAACCCCTGCACCGAGGGGGCAGCCATTCAATTCCAAGTTAGGGCACGTGGCTGGGTTGCGGGCTCAATCCCCAGTAGGGGGCATACAGAAGGCAGCTGACATAAGTTTCTTTCTCTCATCGCTGTTTCACTATCAACTTCCCTTCCTCCCTCTCTAAAAATATTAATAAAAACATGTTTCTTTTAAAAAAAAAACCACAAATACATTTTGGTCAAAACCATAAATGTGATGTGATAATTAAATGATTCCTCTGAATGTTATAATTCTATGATCCTTGACATCCAGAAGAGGGTAGATGAAAAAAACTGCAAGGACTGATTGAAAGAGTTATATGTGCTTTCTACTATTTGCTATACTTGTCTAGATCATGAAGGACTGAAAGTAATGCTGGACTATGGCGAGCAAATGGTGGAACGGAGAAATAAATGTAAGAAGTCTTTTGCACGAACAAGCATTCAGGATGGGGCCCCTGCACAGAGACACACACATTACACATACCCAGAAAGAATGATGGCGCCTCGATTTACACCAGCCCACGACTTCAGGTTCTTCATACCGACATGTTCTACAAGTGTCTTTGCAAAACAACCTGTAAAATATACTGAAACTTAATGGACATCATATACCAAGATTTAAATCCCCAATCTCCCTCTCTACTGCCCTTAAGTCTGTATGTTTTAATAAAAAAGCTAGTAAAAAGAGTTCTCTCCCAAACTCCCGTAAGATGAAAAATTCCTGTTCAGGTTTATATAATGCAGTTTTTGTAAAGCCATTTCTTTCAAATCTGATTCAAATCCTAAGCTACATTAGCAGTAATAACTCAAGAGAAACGCTCACTTGGTCATGTTTGTGCTTCTTTGTTCTACTGAACGACTTAACCCTAACCTGAAAGGTATTCAGGAAGTACATGTTTGACAGCAGCACCTACGCAATACATGGAATCAATGTGTTCTACTTTTGAATCTTGGCGGACCTTTATGTCTCACTTAACCAAGGGAGTACGATAAAGTGATGCTAAACAATTCTGAGGCTAAATCATGAAAAAATCACTCCCCTACTTTGTTCTTTTAAAACCAAACCATCCGTGCTCTAAGGAAGCCCAAGCAGCAGCCTAGGGAGGGGAACTGAGGCTGTTGTCCTCAGCCGTTGCCAGCTACTATGAAAGTAGATTCCAACCCCTAGCTGAGCAGCACTCTGCACAGAGGAAAAACAAGCTCACGATCAAACCCTGATCAAATGATTACTTTTTTGAAAACTGTTTTGAGGTAACTTATTATACAACAAGAGATAACCAAGACAGCTAGCCACACTCACGTGGTGCTCCGTGAAAATGACAAACACTTTAGGCATGTGGTAGGGCTCTCAGTGCATTTTGATTAAGAGGAATAAAATTACTAGGAAATTCCTGGACTTTGAAAAAGATGATTCAGTATATTGTTTTTTCTTCAAAATATAAGAAGCTTTTCTCTTCTATAAAAAATTTAGTGAAAAATAGCTCCAAGTCTCTATTCTCAAAGGTGGAGTGAGAAATGACAGCTCTGCTATATTGACTGCCTTACTAACCACTAGAACTGCAACTTGCCTAAAGACATACATTCATAATCTGTCAGTTTTTTTTCAAATACAGTCATAAAAAGCCCAAACTACTTAAGTGAGGAAATTCTCCTTAGTGGCTAAAATACCAGAGGGAGTTGAATTTACTAAGAGAAGGTCTGGTCAAAGACAGGACTGAGAGGGGAATGGTATGCAACTTTTCGATTAGATAAGAGATGCTGTCCTCCTGGAGAGCTGAGTTTACAGAACAGCCATGAGGTTTATGAAAAACCAATAAATACCAACCACTGGCTTGCTCTTTGGTCACATGTACTTCAATGCCAAATAGGCACCAGTTCAAAATTCTCTGATAAGGGTAATTTTCTTCTGCATATCCCTTCCTCAAAACTAGAGATAAATACCATGCCTTTCAATTGGGGTAATGATACTCATATATCCCCTCCTCACCCCCACTGTACTGCTCTCACCATCCTCAAGAAATAGAATGGTGTTTTAGAAAGCTGGCCAAGTCCAGTCAGAATTCTGAAGTAGCAGAGAAAAGAGGAGTAAGAGAGGGAAGGGGGGAAAGAGGAAAAAAATTAAAGGATTCTAGGACACAAATTTCTAGCATTTACTAAAGCAATACTTGCAACCACTAAATCAGTTCTTACTTATAGGACACTATTTCTGAACACTCAACAAACTCATGTGAACTTGCATGGCTCACATCAAGTTCAGGGATGCCAAGAATTACTGACATCTCACTTAGGCTGCAACCCAAAGGTTAAGTTTAACAACCTACCTTCTCTTCCGTTTTCTTTCATCTTTTTATCTTGTTCTATTAACCACTTCAGAACAAGGTGTCCTGCAGGATGTTCTGCAATGTGAAGCTAGGAGGCATCAAGAACACATTAATTTATTTCATCCATGCCTTGGCCTACAATCCATTCTACATGACCATATACAGATAAGGACTCAGCCATGTTGAAAGTTCCGTAAGGCTTAAGAGATCTTTATCTAGAATGACCATTATACCTGGAGGTCTATCCTAATCCCCAGACTAAAATGAGGACAGTTGTTCAAGACAACACAGCCACTGATAACTAGTTTAGGCTGGGCTTCACAAGTCCCGGTTTAAAAAGTACCCCCAAAAGTTCATCTTGAGATCAAACTCACCACTTTTCAGACTGCGATATGCAGTTATGAGGTACAAACACACCTATGGGACAGAACCCTTTAGCAGAAACATTGAAAACTAATGCTGAATGTTGACATACAGGCATTATCTGATTCCGGCCAAGAAAACATCTTTTTAGCTCAATCTTACTCCTTTTTCAAGGCCATATCATTGTTCCCACAGTACTTAGGACCTCTCCTTTTGAAGCACGGGAAACAAGGGGCCCAATTTCTTTAAAAAAAAAAACTTCAACTATGCACGCATCGTCCCTATTTGCTAATATGATCAGCCTTATGAGGGCAGGGGCCCAGGCTTCTCTAAGATCCACAGGCTCCCATATACTGTATCTGTTCATCAGGAACTCATCACCTAGTGCAGGGCAAGGGTCCCGCATGATCTGGCTTCTGCCTTCCTCTCCTCTTTGCTAAGCGATTTCTAACCCCTCCAACCTTCTGTTCTTACACAAGTTGCACTCCTGCTGCACATGCTCTTCCCTCTGCCGAGAATCTTCTTTCTACCATTCTTCACTGAGCTACTAATCCTTTGGGTTTAGCTTTCACTGCCCCAGGAAGCCTTCTTGGGGATAGGATGGCTCCCACTCACAATGCCATAGAACCTGTAGTTTTCTTTCACAGTGCTTATTTCAATGTGAAATGATTATTTAAATATTATATTCATGTTCATCAAAATGGTAAGCTTCTGGGGAAGAGGGGTAGCGTTGACCCGAATAAATATAGGCAGAGCCTATCAGAAACAGCAAAGACTTTTTACTATGAGGGGATGAGGGGAGATGTCACAGGGGAGAGGATTCTAGGGACCCTGAAGGATGAGAAGGCTTTCTACATGGAAAGCATAGGACCACAGAGATACGGGCAACACTCAAGACTGAGGGAAGAAGCATGGACAAATGCAAAGAGGTCAAAAGTCCAGAAAAAAATTCAAAATAGAATTAAGAACATAGAATACACTGGGGAGACAGCTTGGGGCCAATCATGGATAACAGAGAGACTTATTTTTGCTCAGGGAGTCACTGCAAGGCAGTGTTGCAATAGCACTGTTTCGAATTCAGTTTTCAAATGCACTGCTGATATGCAGTGAGTGAGGCAGTTTTGACTGAAATCCTCCTTGCAGCTTTCCTGCCTGTCTAAGAGCACATTACCTCTCCATCCTTGCCGCCAGGATGTAGTTCTGCTGCTGCCAAGCTGGCGACGGCATTCATGGCAGGTTGAGTGTCTCCAATGGCAGCTCCCAGAATGCAAGGCACCAACACACAGGCAGACTTATCCAGCACCATTTCTTGGGCGTGACCTTGCAGGTAGCTTAACAAAGCTGGGGAGATGGATTCTAAGAGCTCTCGGCGCCGGATCTCTGTGTCTTTTTTACTGGAATAGGTTGGAATAGGTTGAATGAGTAGTAAGGTAAGATAAATGACAAAGGAAACACAGTGACTGTATTTTCACAAAAACCTTTAAACAATCTGTGGCATACGCCACTATATCTTTCTGTTATGCATGTGCATAAGTGATTTGAGGATGGGATGTGTCTTTCATGCTTGTGTCGTAGGATGTGACTAGCACCTGGCACAGAACAAGCACTCAACAAATGAAGCTTGCCTTATGTAATAATAATTAAAAAAACAACAACCTAAACCAATCCAAAAACCAAACGACAACGAAGTATCTTATAAGACAACCCATGTTTACACCATTTTATGAACTCTACTCTCTAGAATACTCATTTATGTGGTACCAGTAGCTTTAAAAAAAAAAGCAAAACCAAAACAAATCACACACCTAAGTACCTACTATGTACAAGGGGCTCACAGGCATTCTTCTGGCACAACACTTTTATTTTCAGGATAAAAATGAGTAAAGGTTTAAAAATGGAATTCACTTTTTGAGTTTTGGAGAGAGAAGGGGCCTGCATGCAGGAGTGGATTTCTGGAAGCAGGCACTACTGAAATTAATAAATCAGAGGACAAAGGGCGCAGCCTGTCTACCGTTCATACCTGTGTGCGTTTCCATCTCCTTTCTGCAGAACTTCAATGATTTCTCGTACTGTATGTGCAGGATCTCGGGGGCTTAGTAGGTACAACAGGACCTTCCTTCCATATTTGTCATTTAATATGTTAGACAAGGAACTAATAATTTCCTGTAAAATTACAGAAACAAAAAAAGTAAATCTGTATGCTCAAAGGATGCTTGGAATCTGAATGGCAAAGGAGGATACATACTTAACAAGTTCCCCCAACTTACTTAATGGAAAATGTGCAGCTAGCTGTAAAATCGTCTCATTAAAGCACCAGAGATTTACACTCAGAACACAGAACAGATTCTCTGCTGTGACTGGCATTACTGAAAAATCCAAGGAGACTTAAAAATACTTAAAGCAGTTATCTTCAGTCACTATATAACCGATATTACTTAGGCCACCATTACCAGAGCAGATCAGTTAATTTGCAGCTGCACTTAAGCGTAGCATCAGCATCGATGAAGAACATTCTTATTAGAATTTGAGGGAGATAAAGAAACTCTGTTAAACAGGACAAGTGGATAAAGGCTTTTAAAGTTAGGTTGCTCATTCATGGCAAATAAGGCTACTTAAGTATCGCACAAGAAAGAAAGGGAGGGAAACGTGCAGAAAGACTCCACAGAGCAGTTACAAGTAACTACACTCTATGAACAGTAACCTTTTCTAGTTGTATGAATTTAAGGAACAATGCAATGGTATCCCTATCTCAACTAAGCTCCTGTGTAAATTTGCTGTTTTCAAAGACAGAAAATTCACTGTTTAAAAATCCCTTTACACTTAATAGAGAATACACAACAGAAAAATCATCAGCTATTTCCCCCTCTAACATTCCTACTTCATGCCACAAGCCTAACAGATACTCAAAGCCATGTAGGTTTTAGCACCAGATATTCTCGACTGGCTGGGGCCATAGAAAGAATTAGGTCCAATCACGCAAGTTTACAGATGAGGAACCCAGAAAGAGGAGAGGTAACTCTGCCACAGGACGTAGAGTATCAGTGGCAGGACTCTGAGAAGTTCTGGTCCCTGATTCTAACTCTAGCCTCTTTTAAAGAAAACATAAGCTCTCTATTAAGGAAATGAATTCTCTATGAGATGATATACTCAGATTTGCTATTCTCTTAAGTGCCTATTTATTACAATGAGATCAGTAATTTTAGTGCAAGGAACCAAACTAAAAGTTAAGTCAGTCATCACCTCTCCCAAGAAGACATAAAAATTGCTAATAGTTATATGAAAAGATGCTCAACTTCACTAGTTATTAGGGAAATGCAAATTAAACAATGAGATACCACCTTATACCTATCAGAATGGCTACTATCAACAAATAAGTAACATGTGTTGGAGAGGTTGTGGAGAAAAAGGGAACCCTCATTCACTGCCAGTGGGAATGTAAAATGGAACAGCCACTATTGAAAACAATATGGCGGTTCATTAAAAAATTAAGACTGGAGTTACCATATGACCCAGCAATCCCTCTTCCGGGTACCTACCTGAAAAATCTGAAAATATTTATTCATAAAGATATACGCCCTATGGTCATTGTAGCATTATTCACGGTGGCCAAGATATGGAAACAATCAAGGTGTCCTTCGATAGATGACTGGATAAAGATGTGGTACATACTATATATAATGAACTACTACTCAGCCATAAGATGAAATACTGCCATTTGTGACACTATGGATGGATTGTGAGAATATCATGCTAGTGAAGTAGGTCAGATGGAAAAAGTAAAAAAAACAAACATGATTTCACTCATATGTGGACATAAAACTGAAAGTGATAAATGAACAAATGAGTAAAAATTCACAGACACAGACATTAATATGGTAGTTAACAGAGGGAAAGGGGGTGAGGGGATGGAAAAAGAGTAAAAGGGGTCAAACATATGGTGACAAAAGGAGATTTGACTTTGGGGGTGAACATACAATGCACTATACAGAAGATGTATTACAGAATTGTACACTTGAAACCTATGTAATTTTATTAGTCCATGTCACACCAATAAATTTAATTAAAAATAAAATAATCTTAAAAAGAAAAAAATTAAGTTAGTCATCAGCTATGGGATCATGATACAGCAAAGTCCATGACCCCGAAGTTGATGACACAAACCCAGATTCCAGACACATTTTCTCAAACATCCCTCGTTTCCTGCACAAAAGTATACTGTGCTTCCTGTAATTAGTAAGAGCAGCTAAACACTTAAGGTGCACACTAAGAACCAGACCCTATCTGAGAGTGCCATGTCCATCATCTTAAATACTCTTCACAGCATGATGGATGACAAAGGTACTGTAGCTTACTTTCATTTTACATGTAAGAAGCCCAAGGTTTAAACAAGTAAGGTGACTTAAAGTAGAGAAGTAAAGGTCACACATCCAGGACATGATCGCCGCTTTCCCTGACTCTAAACCCCACTCTGCTCTTCTACCTTTGAAGAAGTTTAAGGTCATGTATAAAGATTTCCCTATACAACATAAAGGTTTCCAGAGAACAGGTGCAATAGACCTAACCACCTCAAAAAGAATAGAAATTTCAACCATTCAAGGAAAATGAACAAACATCTTAGTAAAAAGGGCAAGACAATACAAAATTGTACACTTCACAGAAGAGGGAGCTCTTTTGTAATTTCAAGGTAAACATGACCCAAAGTGGATACAACATATGCATAAAAAAAAATCCTCACCTAAGGACATGCTTTTATTGATCTTTTTTTCCATTGATCTTTTAGAAGAGCAGAAGAGTTGATTTTAGAGAGGAAGGGGGAAAGAGAGAGAGAGAGAGAGAGAGAGAAACATCGATTGGTTGTCTCCCACACACCCTGACTGGGGTTCAAAATCACAAGCTAGGTATGTGCTCTGACCAAGAATGAAACCTTTGGACACTCCAACCAACTGAGCCACACAGATCAGGGCTCAACATACCCATTTTTGATAATGAAGCATTTAGTGCCACAAATATGGGCTACCATTAGTATGGATTTTCCTATTTAAAGTTTAACCAACCAACTCATGAGAGGAAAGATGCTTTAACTTGCTGAAAGAAGAGGGTGAGGATACACAGCTTAGGCCAATTTCTGTAATCATTGACTGGTAAAACCCCCACAACCTTGCTGTCCTAAAATACTATTGGCTATAATCCCTTTAAAACAGTTGCTTAAAAAATAAATAAAACACATACACACACGACAAAAACTCAAAATGTGTGAAGTATTCAGTGAAGAAATATAAAAGGCTGCTATTATTCCTCAATGTACTTACTTTCTCTGTGGGTTTCACACTTAAGGACTAGGGTAATATACATAGACGTGGGCAGAAAAGCTTTCACTTTAACAAGAGAAGCTTAATTCCTTGTGCAAACACTATTCAAGGACTAGTGCCCAAACTCATTGTCTTTCAGTTTGTAATTTAGGAATTGAGAATCTAAAGCTATGTTTGTTTGAGTGTGAAATCACTTAATTCTCCTCGATCTCACCCTCATTCCAGCTTTCCTACAAAAAAAAAAATGTATCTAAAAGAAAACAGTATGAGTGCTGTCATATTAGAGCACTAATTCATTTCTCTTTAACCTAGTTAGAAAGAGGAGAGAAATTTCTAGCGAGGTGAACACTAATGAGTATAGTACATGTAGAAATAGGTAAGAAGAACCAGTCAACTATTGCAACTACTGGTATCGTTGACTTTTTGCTGAACTCAGTCTTTAAGCTCAAGCAGCCTTTGGCAAATCTTTTAACCTCCCCACACATCAATTCCCTTATCTGTAAAAGGAAATGATGTACCTGCCTGACTTGTAGGCCATTACCAGGAGCAAAGCTGAAAATTCACACTGCAAACTGAAAACGGCTATAAAGTGATATTTTTTTTAAAATATATTTTATTGAGTTTTTACAGAGAGGAAAGGAGAGAGATAGAGAGTTAGAAACATCGATGAGAGAGAAACATCGACCAGCTGCCTCCTGCACACTCCCCACTGGGGATGTGCTCGCAACCCAGGTACATGCCCTTGACCGGAAACGAACCTGGGACCTTTCAGTCCGCAGGCCGACGCTCTATCCACTGAGCCAAACCGGTTTTGGCTAAAGTGATATTTTTTATTACACAATGCAACAGGCTCTGCAGTGGTTCGGTGGGACGGACACGTGACTCTATACACACATGTGCAGCATATTTGGCAACCTAGCAATGTTGCTAAGTAAATGACTTAGAGAAACAAGGAGACATATAAGAATGCTCATAGAATTATTTGGAATAGCAAAAAAATAGTGAGTTTTTAAAGTTTTAAAAATTGTAAACAATCTAAATGTCCATCTACAGAAAATGGAATGATAAACTGCAGTATATTCATAGTAAAATACAATTTGGCATTGAAACAGAAATGATTTAGAACAGGGGTGGGCAAACAAAGGCCCATGAGTCAACCTGCAGCCTACTTTTGTACATCCTACAAGTTAAGAATGGTCTTTACATTTTAAAGGATTGTTAAAGAATAAAAACAAAACAAACGGGCAGCAGAGATCATATATATCCCACAAAGACTAAAATACTATCTGGCCCTTTTAAAAAGGGCTTGCCAACTCCTGATGATGAATTCCACAAACATAATATCAAAAGAAAAAAGCAAGTTACATAAGAAAATATACACAATATTACTGACGTGGAATCTGTAAACATGCAAAATAGTACTATACACATCTACATAGAGCAAAAGGATAAGGAAATGCATGTGAATAATAAACACAAAATCCATCACCATGGGTGAGGGTGAGGGTGGATATGCAATCATGGACAGGTACACAAAAGGCTTGAACTTTTACTGTATTTGTCAAGTTTCACTTCTTTATCAGATAGTAGGTGGCTGAATATCCACTGTATAATTCCTTATACCTTTCTGTATGTTTTAATGATAATATATTTCCTTTTCTGTCAAAGCAGCTGCATCATACCAACAATTCCAGGGCAAAATGGATAAAATTGTATAGGTATGTTTATTTTGGAAAGTAAAGTAGGTGGAAAACAGTGTGTATCTATTTTTTTTAGAATGTTTTTTATTGATATTTTTAAGGGAGAGGGAGAGAAGCATCAATGTGAGAGAGAAACATTGATTGGCTGCCTCCCTTATGCACCCTGACCCACGGAACCCAAAACCTGGGCATGTGCCCTGATGGGGAAATGAACCGGCAACCTTTTGATGCATTGGATGACACAAAACCAACTGTGCCACACTGGCCAGGGCAGTGTGTGTATCCAGTTAGAAAAGTGAGAGCTCAGCTGACCAGGCTGTTATATCAACATGGTATTTCAGGAAGTCTGGCTACCCTGAAGAGAATTCTTAACAACACTAAGCTTTCTTATGTATTTTGAAAAAGAACTGCATACTGCAACAGGCTTTCTGGTAGATGGGTGGGGAAAATGCAAGTGCAATTAGCATTCCAGGATTTTATCACCAGCTACATAGTGTAATGACACACAGAAGCTGTTGAGCATTTGTCAGCTAGAGGCAAGAGATCAGTAAATCAGGCCATTCTCGGAAAGCTGCCCTGAGTATGAGAAAGTCATTAGGAATGTGGGTTAAGTAGTGGTGGGAATCAATCTGATAAGCACAAGGAATTAAAACTGTTTCAGCAGCAACTTTAAGTGGGCTAAATCTTGGGAAAATATCCAGCAGACAAATTGTGGCAAATTCTGAAGGAAGTATAGTTTCTCTTGAAATCTATCTGGAACAATTATGCAAATTTTACTTGTCCTGAATATATTAAACAAAAGCAAACTTTAAATAGCCCAGCCTGTTTCCATTTTCATGAAGCAACTTTATTCATTAAAAAATCTATGGCCTCACATCACTGTCACTGGAATGAAAAACAATCATTATTGACTGGAGTCAAAAGGGTAATAAAGATACAAGGAACATGTCAAAAAGCTCAGTTTGTGACATGAAAGTCTTGCCAAATGGTTTCTTCCCACAATCTTATCCCAAAGAAAGTCATCACAATCTTAACATAGTTAAGGGGAAAGTTGGAAAATGACAGCAAGGGCATGAGAAACTCACATACACTGGGAAGTACAGCTGGCATCTAAGAAAAATCTCCTTCCCCTCTGCTAGCTGATACATTTTCCCCTACACCCAGCTCTACTGGTCTAGACAGGCTACAGAGAGAGGCCACAGCACTGCCACATGCCAACAGGTAAAGTCTCTTTCTGAACCCCATCTGCTTCTCTCTGCAGCTGGCATGAAAGTAGTTTTTGTCACTGAGATTTCTCCAAAGGCCCCATCCATGGTATCAAAGAGAAACGTTTGTGTAATTTTCAGATGAATATTTCTATACAGATTATGTGGTTTTTTCAATGTACCCAAGTTTTGTCCCTGCAACCAATGTTGCAATTTCTTAACCCTACCCTTGCAACCTCTATTACATATCCAACACTACCTGCACACTAGAAGTAAGGAAGAGAAGAGGAGAGCACAGATTCAGAAGTCAATCATTGCAGAATGAAGGAAATGATTTTGGAATGCAGTTTTTACTTTGGAGTAGTACTTTCAAGAGGAAAGCTCAGTTTTTCTGAAGGAAAATTTAGGGTTAAATAAGTTGCATTCAATTATTACCACTTTATGGTCATTATACTAGGCTAAAAAAATTGCTGAAATGTAAAAAGGAAGCTAGTATTTTCATTTTAGTAATAATTTTTAATCTGACTCTACAAAAACTTTCATGAAAGCTCTAGGAAGGATCACAATGGAGTTTTATCAGATTTGCTTCTCCAGCTCAATCAGGACAGATGTACTGACAGGCTAACTGTGCAGTGGTAGTTTCTCCACAGGGAGAGGGAGAAAGGTCACAGGTGTCCTCTGCCTGGATATGAGCTCCTGAATAATTGAAGAATTACTATGTCAACGAATTTCTAATCAAATCTAAGCACTGCTTTGCTAAATTTTCATTTAATATATCATATGGTCTAAAAAGTCATGTTATCCTAATTTAACCATTCTTTTACATATTTAAAACAATAATTATTAATATCATGTTACTAGATTATGGTTTATACAGAAATAAAGCAAATCCCCCAAAGAGATTTAATGTCAACTAATAAGTAACGAAATACCATCAAGGAGCAAATAATTCAAAGTCTTTACACATACATATGTGAAATAACACTTATAAATCCACAAATGATATATCAATGTAACTTAAATTCAAGACCATGATAATTACTTACAGATATGATTATCTGCTTCACAAGCTTAGTATCATCAATACAATCAAACGCCGCCAGTAAAACCAAATGGGAGTATTGGCCCTGTAAGAATCGAAAGCCAAGAAAGGTTAAAAAAAACGCATAGCTTCTCCCTTTTATTCCACCCCTGGAGTCACTTTATAAAGGTTACCAACCTGGTAACCTGCACAACATGATACAAATAAGAGGGATAAAAGCCATTCAAAGGAATTCTTATCAGGACCTAGTTAATAATATTCTAGGTTGATTTTTAAAAAAGAAAAACAAACAGAAAAGCACATTCTTCAATATCAAATAGCCTGGACTCATTATCTTTCAAAAATAGGTACTCTGTTAATGAACAGCTACTAAAAAAAAAATTAAACTAAAAAAGAAATGCAATCGTTTAAAAAAAAAACATGACTATAAAACATAACAAGATTATATAAATCCAAATATAATTATACATATACAAAGTATACAAAATACATGTATACAGAAAATCCTAGAACATTATAATGTAACTAGAGGCCCGGTACACAAAAATTTGTGCACTCAGAGGGCAGGGGGGTCCCTCAGCCCGGCCTGTGCCCTCTAGCAGTCTGGGACCCCTCGGGAGATAACGACCTGCTGGCTTAGGCCTGCTC